TAAGCAGTACTGATATATTTATAAGTGTATTATATCAATGTAAATGTTAATTTTACTTTTTATTATGTCAGAATGTATTTTGTTTGTTTACTTTCAGTAAATTAATAATTCTTTTAATAATCTCTTTGGTTTTAGATTTTTCAATAAGCTCGCGACCCCCTTGTAGAGTTATCACGCCTCCTTGGGGGGTGCGCCCCACAGTTTGAGAAACCCAAATTTTGGGTTTTTAAAAAAATAAAAAAAAAAAAAAAAAATTTTTAAAAAAAAAACCCCCCCCCCCCCCAAAAAAAAGGAAAATAATAAAAAATTTAAAAAAAGAAAAGAGAAAAAAAAAAACCCAAAAAAAAAAAAAAAAAAAAAAAAAAAAATTTAAAAAATAAAAAAAAAAAATTTTGGGGGTTTTTTTTGGGAAAAGGGGAAAAGGCCCCGGGGGTTTTAAAAAAAAAGGGGAAAATTTTTTTTAAAAAAAAAAAAATTTTAAAAAATTTAAAGGGTTTATAAAGTTTTAAATTTTTTTTTTGGGGTTTTTTTTTTTTTTTTTTAAAAAAATTTTTGGTTAACCTTTTTTTTTTTTTTTTTTTTCCCCCCCCCTTTTTTTTCCCCCCCCCCCTTTTTTAAAAATTTAAAAAAAAAAAAAAAAACCCCCCTTTTTTTTTCCCTGGGAAAAAAAAAAAAAAAAGGAAATTTTTTTTAAATTAAAAAAAAAAAATTTTTTTTTTTAAAAAAAAAAATTTTTTTTCCCAACCTTTTAAAAAAAGGGAAAAAAATTTTTTTAAAAAATTTTTAAAAATTTCCTTAAAAAACCCTTTTTTTTTAAAAAAAATTTTTTAAAAAATTTTTTTTAAAAATTTGCCCTTTTTTTTTTTTTAAAAAAATTTTTTAAAAAAATTTTTTTTTTTTGGGGGGTTTTTTTCCCCCCCCCCCTTTTTTAAAATTTTTTCCCCCCCCAAAAAACCCCCCAAAAAAAACCCATTTTTAAAAAAAATTTTAAAAAAACCCAAAAAAAAAAAAATTTTTTTTTAAAAAAAAAAACCCCCCTTTTTTTTAAAAAAAAAAAAAAATTTTTTTTTTTTTTTTTCCCCAAAAAAAAAAAAAAAAAAAAAAAAAACCCCCAAAAAAAAAACCCCCCCCCTTTTTTTAAATTTTTTTTTTAAAAAAAAAATTTTTTTTAAAAAGGGGGGTTTTTTTAAAAAAAGAAAAAAAAAAATTTAAAGTTTTTTTAAAAAGGTTTTTTTTTTTCCCCCCTTTGGGGGGCCCAAAAATTCCAGGCAAAAAAAAAAATTTTTTTTTTCCCAAAACAAAAAAAAAAGGGGGGGTTTAATTTTTTTTTTTTAAAAAGGGGGGGAAAAAAAAATTTTTTATTTTTTTTTTAAAAAAAAAAAAAAATTTTTTTTGGGAAAAAAAAAAAAAACCCCCCCTTTTGGTTTTCCCTTTTTTTAAAAAAAAAATTTTTTAAATTTTTTTTTCCCCCCCTTTAAAAGGCTTTTTTAAAAGGGGGAAAAATTTTTTTTGGGGAAAAAAAATTTTGGTTTTTTTTTTTTTTTGGGGGTTCCAAAAAAAATTTTAAAACCAAATTTTTTTTTTTTTTTTTTCCCCCCCCAAAAAAAATTTTTTTTTGGGGGCCCCTTTAAAAAAAAAAAAAAACCCCTTTCCGGGGGGTTCGGGGGTTTTTTTTTCCCCCCCTTTTCCCCTTTTTTTTTTTTTAAAATTGTTTTTTTTTTTGGGGAAAAAAAAAAAATTTTTTTTTTAAAAAAAATTTTTTTTTTTCCCCCTTTCCTTAGGGGGGCCCCCCTTTTTTTCCCCCCCCCCTTTCCCCCCTTTTTTTTTTCCCCCCCCCCCTTTTTTAAAAGGGGTTTTTTTCCCCGGGGGGGGGAAAAAAAAACCCCACCCCTTTTTTTTTTTTTTAAAAAAAAACCCCCTTTTTTTTTCCGGGGAAAAAATTTTTTTTTTTTTTTTTTTCCCCCCGGGCAAAAACGCCAAAAAATTTTTTTTGGGTTTTTTTTTTTGGGGGGGGGGTTTTTAAAAAAAAATTTCCCAAACAAAAAAAAAAAAAAAAAGGTTTTTTTTCCCAAAAATTTTTTAAAACCCCCCCTTTTTTTTCCCAAAAAAAAAAATGAAAAATTTTTTTTTTTTTGGTTCCCTTTTTTAAAGGAAAAAAAAACCCCCAAAAAAAAAAATTTCTTTTTTTAAACTGTTACCTTGACAACGAGAATAAATTTGAAATTGTTTGATCGATACTTCATGAAATATCGCCACTACAGCCATCTACCGAAAAAATAATGGTTTTCTTTTTCCCCAATCTCATATTTAACTTTTCAGTTCCTTTAAGGAATTTGTTTGGTGGGGGCCTTTTTTGGGAATTTGATTGATTGGGGTCGCTTGGTTAAAATTCGTGACCTTTTTGACTTTTTTCCCCGCAAAAACCTGTTCTATAAGTACCCCACGCTAATAAATTTCGCCACTGGGGAGCGAAAGTAATCCATCATCTTAAACACAAAATTAAAGCAAAGGGATCGTTAAGAATATATTCCTTTCCTTCCTATAAAAAATCACTTCGTTCATTTGGAAGAAAACTCGAATTCCTACACCAAATATGAGAAATTCTTTTTTTCCCTATTAAAGGAAAAAAATAGGGAAACTTTTTAAATATCTAGAAAGTAAAAACTTCCCGGATTTTTTCGCAAAACTGTTCTATAAGTACTGCACGCTAACTAGAAGCGCCACTGGGAAGCGAAAGAAATCAATCCTCTTTAACTCAAAATTATAATTTAGGAAACGTAAACAATACCGTTTTTTCATTCATAAAAAAAAAAACTTCGTTCCTTTTAAACAAAACACGAATGCCTGCACCCAATATGAGATGTTCTTTTTCTCTACTAAACCCCAAACAATTACAAATGCTTCTTAAATATTTAGATGTAAAAGATTCTCTTCTCCAGGTGAGGATTGAACTCACAACCTCGACATTGCTCGAAAACACTGTTCTATAAGCACCGGTCCCCAAAACCCGGGTGCGCCACTTGGGCCCAAAAAAAAAAAGTCCTTTTTTAACCGGGAAAATTATGATAAAGGGGGAAAGTAAAAAAATAGGCTCCTATCATTACTAACAAAAATCACTTTCTTCCTTTAAACAAAATTGAATTCTTGAGCCTAATATGAGAAGTTCTTTTTTTCTATTAAAGCAAACAATGAGAGAAGCTTCTTAAATATCTAAAAGTAAAAAACTATCTTCCCCAAATGAGGATCAAACTCACAAACTTTGGATTCTCAAACGCTGTTGGAAAAATTAAAAAACCCGGGAACCATTTGCCAAGGGGCGAAAGTAATTAAAAACCTTTTAAAAATAAAATTAAAGAAAGGAAAAGTTAAAAAATTTTTCCTTTCCTTCCTAAAAACCCAAAACGTCCCTTTTTGGGAAAAAAAAAATTAAAATTTCCCCATTAAAAATAAAAGTATTTTTCTCTTTCAACCCAAACCCTGAGAAGTTTTTTTAAAATTGAAGTAAAATTCTTTTTTTTCCCCCGGGGAGGATCGAACTTTTACAACCCCGCCATTGCTCCAAACCCCTGTTCTGAAATACCGGGGGTTTCCATTTCCCCACTGGGAAGTAAAAATAACCATCCCCCTTTAAAAATAAAATTAAAGTAAAAAGGGGAAAGTTAAAAAATTTTTTTCCTAAAAAATCAAAACGTTTCCTTTTGGGGAACCCAAAATTTAAAAATTTCCCGCCTTAATATAAAAAGTACCCTTTTCTATTCAACCAAAAAACTAGAACTTTTAAATATTTTGAATGAAAAATTTTTTCCCCAGGTGAAAATCGGGCCCAACCCCCATTGCCCCGCAAAAACCCCTTTTAAAGTACCCCCGGCTAACCAACCGCCACTGGGGAAGGAAAGTAATCCATCACCCTTTAAAAATAAAATTAAAGTAAAGGGAACGTTTAAAAATTTATTCCTTTTCCCTTCCCAAAAAAAACAAATTTTCCCTTTTGGGAAAAAAAATAAAATTCCTGCATTTTAAAATGGGGGTACTCTTTTCTTTCAAACCCTGAGAAGCTTTTTTAAAATTGAATGTAAAAAAATTTTTTTTCCCCAGGGAGGATCGAACTCACAACCTTTTTTTCCGGGCCCCCAACCCCTGTTGTTTTTAAAATAACCCCGCGCTTTTAAATTTCGCCACCCCGGGGACCAAAATAATCCATAAATTTTAAAAATAAAAAAATTAAAAAAAAAAATAACGTTAACAATATATTCCCTTTCCCAAAAAAAATCAAATCGTCCCTTTGGAAAAAAAAATTAAAATTCCTGCCTTTTAAAATGAGAAGTACTCCTTTTTTTTTTTCAACCAAACCCGAGAAGCTTTTTTAAACATATGGAAAGTAAAAGATTTTTTTCCCCCGGGGAGGGGTCAAAATCACAACCTCGGGATTGCTCGCAAACCCCTGTTTATAAGTACCGCCGCTAACCCAAATTTTGGGCCCCTGGGAAACAAAAATAATCCATCACCTTTTTAAACTTTAAAAATTAAAAGTAAAGGGAACGTTAACAATATATTTCTTTTTCCTTCCTAAAAAAACAAATCCCTCCCCCTTTGGAAAAAAAATTAAAATTTCCCGACCTTTAAAATGGGAAATACTTTTTCTATTCCCCCAAACACTGAGGGAAACTTTTTTTAAATATTAAAAAGTAAAAATTTTTTTTCCCCAGGGGGGATCGAAAATCACAACCTCGCCATTGCTCGCAACCACCGTTCTGTGGTTTCCCTTTAACCAAATTTTTCCCCGGGGGGAAAGTAATCCCCTAAACCCTTAAAACATAAAATTAAAAAATAAAGGAACGTTAACAAAAATATTCCCTTTTTTCCCTTTCCCAAAAAAACAAATGTTCCTTTTTTGGGAAAAAAAATTTAAAATTCCCCGCATTTTAAAATGGGAAATTCTCTTTTTTTTCAAACCCAAAAACCCCGGGGGAAGTTTTAAAATTGAATGTAAAAAAATTTTTTTCCCCGGGAAAGGGTCGAACTTTACAACCTGGCATTGCTCGCAACCACTGTTCTATAAGTACCGCGCGGTAGCCAATTGCGCCACTGGGGAGCGAAAGTAATCCATCACCAGAAACATAAAATTAAAGTAAAGGTAACATTAACAATACATTCCTTTCCCTTCCTAAAAAAATCAAATCGTCCCTTTGGAAAAAAATTCCTGCATTTAATATGAGAAGTACTCCTCCTCTATTCAACAAAACACTGAGAAGCTTCTTAAATATCTGAATGTAAAAGATTCTTTTCCCCAGGTGAGGATCGAACTCACAACCTCGGCATTGCTCGCAGCCACTGTTGTATAAGTACCGCGCGCTAACCAATTGCGCAACTGGGGAGCGAAAGTAATCCATCACCTTTATCATAAAAATTAAAGTAATTAAAAATTTAACAATATATTCTTTTTCCTTCCTAAAATCAAATCGTCCCTTTTGGAACAAAAATTAAATTCCTGCATTTAATATGAGAAGTATTCTTTCTCAGTTCAACCAAACCCTGAGAAGCTTCTTAAACGTATGAATGTAAAGACGTTTCCCCCAGGTGAGGATCGAACTAACAACCTTGGCATTGCCGCAACCACTGTTCTATAAGTACCGGCAAGCATGTTCAATTGCGCCACTGGGGGGAGCGAAGCAAACAATCACCTTAAAACATAAAATTAAAGTAAAGGTAACGTTAACAATATATATTCCTTTCCTTCCTTAAAAGAATCAAATCGTCCCTCTGAACAAAAATTAAAAATTCCTGTACTCATTATGAGAAGTACTCTCTATTCAACCAAACACTGAGAAGCTTCTAAAATATGTATAAATGTAAAAGATTCTTTTTCCCCAGGTGTGAGGATCGAACTCACAACCTCGCCATTGCTCGCAACCACTGTTCTATAAGTACCGCGCGCTAACCAATTGCGCCACTGGGGAGCGAAAGTAATCCATCACCTTTAACATAAAATTAAAATAACGGTAACGTTAACAATATATTCTTTTCTTTCCTAAAAAAATCAAATCGTCCCTTTGGAACAAAATTAAAATTCCTGCATTTAATATGAGAAGTACTCTTTCTCAGTTCAACCAAACCCTGAGAAGCTTCTTAAACGTATGAATGTAAAAGATTCTTTTCCCCAGGTGAGGATCGAACTCACAACCTCGGCATTGCTCGCAACCACTGTTCTATAAGTACCGCGCGCTAACCAATTGCGCCACTGGGGAGCGAAAGTAATCCATCACCTTTAACATAAAATTAAAGTAACGGTAACGTTAACAATATATTCTTTTCCTTCCTAAAAAATCAAATCGTCCCTTTGGAACAAAATTAAAATTCCTGCAGATGCATTATGAGAAGTATTCTTTCTCAGTTCAACCAAACCCTGAGAAGCTTCTTAAACGTATGAATGTAAAAGATTCTTTTCCCCAGGTGAGGATCGAACTCACAACCTCGGCATTGCTCGCAACCACTGTTCTATAAGTACCGCGCTAACCAATTGCGCCACTGGGGAGCGAAAGCAAACTATCACCTTAAACATAAAATTAAAGTAAAGGTAACGTTAACAATATATTCCTTTCCTTCCTAAAAGAATCAAATCGTCCCTCTGGAACAAAATTAAAATTCCTGTACCTAATATGAGTATACTTCTTCTATTCAACCAAACACTGAGAAGCTTCTTAAATATATAAATGTAAAAGATTCTTTTCCCCAGGTGAGGATCGAACTCACAAACCCGGCATTGCTCGCAACCACTGTTCTATAAGTACCGCGCTAACCAATTGCGCCACTGGGGAGCGAAAAGCAAACTTACCTTAAAACATAAAATTAAAGTAAAGTAACGTTAACAATATATTCCTTTCCTTCCTAAAGAATCAAATCGTCCCTCTCTGAACAAAAATTAAAAAATTCCCATTTAATATGAGAAGTACTCTTCAGTTCAACCAAACCTCTGAGAAGCTTCTAAACGTATGAATGTAAAAGATTCGTTTCCCCAGGTGAGGATCGAGCTCACAACCTCGGCATTGCTCGCGACCACTGTTCTATAAGTACCGCGCGCTAACCAATTGCGCCACTGGGGAGCGAAAGCAAAACTATCACCTTTAAACATAAAATTAAAGTAAAAGGTAACGTTAAATAATATATTCTTTCCTCTTCCTAAAAGACCAAATCGTCCCTCTGGAACAAAATTAAAAATTACTGTACCTACTGTATGAGAAGTACTCTTCTATTCAACCAAAACACCGAGAAGCTTCTTAAATATATAAATGTAAAAGATTCTTTTCCCCAGGTGAGGATCGAACTCACAACCTCGGCATTGCTCGCAACCACTGTTCTATAAGTACCGCGCGCTAACCAATTGCGCCATACTGTGGGGAGTTTGAAAGTAATCCAATACCTTATCATAAAATTAAAGTAACGGTAACGTTAACAATATATTCTTTTCCTTCCTAAAAATCAAATCGTCCCTTTGGAACAAAATTAAAATTCCTGCATTTAATATGAGAAGTATTCTTTCTCAGTTCAACCAAACCCTGAGAAGCTTCTTAAACGTATGAATGTAAAAGATTCGTTTCCCCAGGTGAGGATCGAACTCACAACCTCGGCATTGCTCGCAACCACTGTTCTATAAGTACCGCGCGCCAACTCAATTGCGCCACTGGGAGCGAAAGCAACAATCACCTTAAAACATAAATTAAAGCTAAAGTAACGTTAACAATATATATTCCTTTCCTTCCTAAAAGAATCAAATCGTCCCTCTGGAACAAAATTAAAATTCCTGTACCTAATATGAGAAGTACTCTTTCTCTATTCAACCAAACACTGAGAAGCTTCTTAAATATATATAAATGTAAAAGATTCTTTTCCCAGGTGTGAGGATCGAACTCACAACCGCTATTGCTCGCAACCACTGTTCTATAAGTACCGCAAGGCCAAATCCAATGCGCCACTGGGGAGCGAAAGTAATCCTCATCACCTTTAACATGTACCAAAGTACGGTAACGTTAACAATATATTCTTTTCTTTCCTAAAAATCAAATCGTCCCTTTGGAACAAAAATTAAAATTCCTGCATTTAATATGAGGAAGTATTCTTCTCAGTTCAACCAAAACCCCTGAGAAGCTTCTTCTTAATCGTACAAATGTAAAAGATTCTTTTCCCCAGGTGAGATCGAACTTCACAACCTCGGCATTGCTCGCAACCACTGTTCTATAAGTACCGGCAAGTACAACCAATTGCGCCACTGGGGAGCGAAAGCAAACTATCACCTTAAAACATAAAATTCAAGTAAAGGTAACGTTAACAATATATTCCTTTCCTTCATAAAAGAATCAAATCTTCCTCTTTAACAAAATTAAAAATTCCTGTACCTAACATCAGAAGTACTCTCTATTCAACCAAAACCCTGAGAAGCTTTAAACATATGAATGTAAAAGATTCTTTTCCCCAGGTGAGGATCGAACTCACAACCTCGGCATTGCTCGCAACCACTGTTCTGTAAGTACCAGGCGCTAACCAATTGCGCCACTGGGGAGCGAAAGCAAATAATCACCTTTAACATAAATTTAAAGTAAAGGTAACGTTAACAATATATTCCTTTCCTTCCTAAAAAAATCAAATCATCTCTTTGGAACAAAAATAAAATTCCTGCATTTAATATGAGAAGTATTCTTTCTCAGTTCAACCAAACCCTGAGAAGCTTCTTAAACGTACGAATGTAAAAGATTCTTTTCCCCAGGGGAGGATCGAACGCACAACCTCGGCATCGCTCGCAACCACTGTTCTATAAGTACCGCGCGGTAGCCAATTGCGCCACTGGGGAGCGAAAGTAATTCATCACCTTAAACATAAAATTAAAGTAAAGGTAACATTAACAATACATTCCTTTCCCTTCCTAAAAAAATCAAATCGTCCCTTTGGAAAAAAATTTCTGCATTTAATATGAGAAGTACTCCTCCTATTCAAATGCAAACACTGAGAAGCTTCTTAAATATCTGGAAATGTAAAAGATTCTTTTCCCCATGCGGAGGATCGAACTCACAACCCTCGTACTGCTCTCGCAGCCACTGTTGTATAAGTACCGCGCGCTAACCAATTGCGCAACTGGGGAGCGAAAGTAATCCATCACCTTTATCATAAAATTAAAGTAACGGTAACGTTAACAATATATTCTTTTCCTTCCTAAAAATCAAATCGTCCCTTTGGAACAAAATTAAAATTCCTGCATTTAATATGAGAAGTACTCTTTCTCAGTTCAACCAAACCCTGAGAAGCTTCTTAAACATATGAATGTAAAAGATTCTTTTCCCAGGTGAGGATCGAACTCACAACCTCGGCATTGCTCGCAGCCACTTCCGTTCTGTAAGTACCGCGCGTTAACCAATTGCGCTTTACTGGGGAGCGAAAGTAATCCATCACCTTAACATAAAATAAAAGCAACGTAACGTTAACAATACATTCCTTTCCTTCCTAAAAAAATCAAATCGTCCCTTTGGAACAAAATTAAAAAATTCCTGCAATTAATATGAGAAGTACTCTTCAGTTCAACCAAAACCCCTTTATGTGCTTCTAAACGTACGAATGTAAAGATTCTTTTTCCCCAGGTGAGATCGAACTCACAAATCCCTTTGCATTGCTCGCAACCACTGTTCTATAAGTACTCGCAAGGCCAACCAATTGCGCCACTGGGAGGAAAGCAAACTATCACCTTAAACATAAAAATTCAAGTAAAGGTAACGTTAACAATATATTCCTTTCCTTCCTGTGAATCAACCGTCCTCTGAACAAAATTAAAAATTCCTGTACCTAATATATGAGAAGTACTCTTTCTCTATTCAACCAAAACACTGAGAAGCTTCTTAAATATATAAATGTAAAAGATTCTTTTCCCTCAGGTGAGGATCGAACCTCATACAACCTCGGTACTCGCAACCATTGTTCTATAAGTAAGTACCAAGCAAGGCTAACCAATTGCGCCACTGGGGAGGAAAGCAAACTATCACCTTAAACATAAACAAAGTAAAGGCAAGTTAACAATATATTCCTTTCCCTTTCCTAAAAGAATCAAACGTCCTCTGGAACAAAATTAAATTCCTGCATTTAATATGAGAAGTACTCTTTCAGTTCAACCAAACTCCTGAGAAGCTTCTTAAACGTATGAATGTAAAGATCTGCTTCCCCAGGTGAGACTGAGCTCACAACCTCGGCATTGCTCGCGACCACTGTTCTATAAGTACCGCAAGCGCTAACCAATTGCGCCACTTGGGAGTGAAAAGCAAACAATCTTTAAACATATAATTAAAAGTTAAGGTAACGTTAACAATATATTCTTTCCTTCATAAAAGAATCAAATCTTCCTCTTTAACAACAAAATTAAAATTCCTGTACCCCCACATCAGCGCCTTTTTCTATTCAACCAAACCCTGAGAAGCTTCTAAACATATACTGCAAAAAGATTTTCCGCGTGAGGATCGAACTCACAACCTCGTCATTGCTCGCAACCACTGTTCTATAAGTACCGCGCGCTAACCAATTGCGCCACTGGGGAGCGAAAGCAAACAATCACCTTAAACATAAAATTAAAGTAAAGGTAACGTTAACAATATATTCCTTTCCTTCATAAAAGAATCAAATCTTCCCTCTTTAACAAAATTAAAATTCCTGTACCTAATATCAGAAGTACTCTCTATTCAACCAAACCCTGAGAAGCTTAAACATATGAATGTAAAAGATTCTTCCCAGGTGAGACCGAACTCACAACCTCGGTACGCTCTCGCCAGTAAACCACTGTTCTTATAAGTACCAGGCGCCAACCAATTGCGCCACTGGGGAGCGAAAGCAAATAATCACCTTTAACATAAATTTAAAGTAAAGGTAACGTTAACAATATATTCCTTTCCTTCCTAAAAAAATCAAATCATCTCTTTGGAACAAAAATAAAATTCCTGCATTTAATATGAGAAGTATTCTTTCTCAGTTCAACCAAACCCTGAGAAGCTTCTTAAACGTACGAATGTAAAAGATTCTTTTCCCCAGGGGAGTGATCGACCTAAATAACCTCCTCAGCATCGCTCGCAACCACTGTTCTATAAGTACCGCGCGGTAGCCAATTGTGCCACTGGGGAGCGAAAGTAATCCATCACCTTAAACATAAAATTAAAGTAAGTAAAGGTAACATTAACAATACATTCCTTTTCTCCCTTCCTAAAAAATCAAACTGTCCCTTTGGAAAAAAAAAAATTCTGCATTTAATATGAGAAGTACTCCTCCTCTATTCAACAAAACACTGAGAAGCTTCTTAAATATCTGAATGTAAAAGATTCTTTTCCCCATGTGAGGATCGAACTCACAACCTCGGCATTGCTCGCAGCCACTGTTGTATAAGTACCGCGCGCTAACCAATTGCGCAACTGGGGAGCGAAAGTAATCCATCACCTTTATCATAAAATTAAAGTAACGGTAACGTTAACAATATATTCTTTTCCTTCCTAAAAAAATCAAATCGTCCCTTTGGAACAAAATTAAAATTCCTGCATTTAATATGAGAAGTATTCTTTCTCAGTTCAACCAAACCCTGAGAAGCTTCTTAAACGTATGAATGTAAAAGATTCGTTTCCCCAGGTGAGGATCGAACTCACAACCTCGGCATTGCTCGCAACCACTGTTCTATAAGTACCGCGCGCTAACCAATTGCGCCACTGGGGAGCGAAAGCAAACAATCACCTTAAACATAAAATTAAAGTAAAGGTAACGTTAACAATATATTCCTTTCCTTCCTAAAAGAATCAAATCGTCCCTCTGGAACAAAATTAAAATTCCTGTACCTAATATGAGAAGTACTCTTTCTCTATTCAACCAAACACTGAGAAGCTTCTTAAACATATAAATGTAAAAGATTCTTTTCCCCAGGTGAGGATCGAACTCACAACCTCGCCATTGCTCGCAACCACTGTTCTGTAAGTACTGCGTACAATCCCAATTGCGCCAATTGGGGAGCGAAAAGTAATCCATCACCTTTAACATAAAAATTAAAATAACGGTAAATGTTTAACAAAATATATTCTTTTCTTCCTAAAAATCAAATCGTCCCTTTGGAACAAAATTAAAATTCCTGCACTTAATATGAGAAGTACTCTTCTCAGTTCAACCAAACCCCTGAGAAGCTTCTTAATCAAAATAAAGATTCTTTTCCCCAGGTGAGGATCGAACTCACAACCTCGGCATTGCTCGCAACCACTGTTCTATAAGTACCGCGCGCTAACCAATTGCGCCACTGGGGAGCGAAAGTAATCCATCACCTTAAACATAAAATTAAAGTAACGGTAACGCTAACACACATATTCTTTTTCCTTCCTAAAAATTCCAAAATGTCCCTTTG